CTGAGGGGCTTCCACCAGTTCTCCTTTGGGCAGCCCAGCTCAGAGACGTCTGACTTCGCTGATTCAACCTGATGTGCATCTTCTAACCAAGGGACTATCAATAAGTTACAAACCAAGTGGGAACTCTTGGTTAATTTCTTTAGCTGTTTTATTATCACTGTCAATTTTAATCTGTATTGTTATGTTGTCTGTTTATTAGCTTAACCTTTTTATTAACTATTACATATGCAAACTATATCTTTTGTTGTCATAAGTAAAATTCATTCCTTTTTGTAAGTGAAACTTGTCATTTCTTTCCTTTCCAACATCACCTCCTAGATCCCGAACCAAAAAGCCCAGTAGCTAATAAAGTTGCAGTGCTCAGTCAGTCTGCAGCTAAACTGATATACTCACAGTACCCAGCTGGCCTGTAACAGCTACTTTTGCTATGACAACTGCATGCCCCTGTACATGGAGATATGCCCAGAGTGTTCAGCTACATTCTACAGAAGCTGAGTTACCAGAGCCTGTACCACGAAGCAGGGAGTTGTCAGGATGCTCCTGGGAAAAGTGACCGACTCCCAGTCTGCTGCCTGTAGCAGAAATGCACCAAATACTGGAGAGATCCTTTATAGTCCCAAACTCTGTGCCCTGCCAGGATGCCTCCAACACAGGTTTGTGGAAAAGGAGCTACCTTACTAAAAGACAGCAGGTATTCAGAAGAAAGAATAGCTTCATTAATGAAACATTAAGACCATAAAGAAGGCAAGGGTCATTAACACTGGTGAAGTGAAGAGCATAAGAGGAATTGGGTAAATTATAGTGAGCCATGAAGTCAAGTGACTCCCTCAGCAGTGCCTGATTATAAGTGTTGCTGCTGCTGCCAAGGAGTTGGTTTCAAACTGGGGGCAGAGCAGGGAGCCAGTGTACCCCCAACTATTGAGTGATCCAGCCCCTATTCAGGACCCTCCCTGACATCCATGTAACAAGTTGGAGATGCCTGAGGAAACATCTTCCTTGCATCCAACAGCCACGAATGCTGCCCTTCCCTTCTTCTCGAACCTGCTTATGCTACCTGTCCCCGCCACCCTCCATGGCTGACACTCCCAGCTCCGGTGCCAGGGATGGGCGTGCGGATTACCTGTTGGTCAGGCAGAGCATGCACTCGTTGCCGTAGGTGTGCCCGTCTGTGCCGCACACAGGGCTGAAGTTTTTGGGGCAGCCGGGCAGGCCGTACAGGTGGCACCGGGGCTGCAGGGGGTGGAAGGAAGAACATGAAGGCCTGTCATACAGGAAATATGGGAATTCCTGGGGAGCCACTCACAATTCCTTCCCACCACCCCCAAATCCCCGGGGCACACAGCATGGCCGCTTGGGGAAATACAGTAATTCCCAGAGAACCACTTCCGACATCCTGTTATGTCCTGCAGTGCACGACAGCTCGGGGAAATATGGTAATTCCTGGAGAGCCGCTCGCAACGGGCGGGATCCCTGCGCCCCCCCACAACGGACCCGCCGGCCCGAGCCCCCCCGGGGGGATGCTGGGGTCGCCCTGCCCCCCCCCAACTCACCGAGGAGCTGGCGGCGGCGGGCGACGGCGGCAGAAGCGCTGCGGGCACAGACAGATGTGGTGTTACCATGGCAACAGCATCCCCTGCCCTTTCCTTCCCCCTTCCCCTCTCTACTCCCCCATAGCCCCCGCCTCTCACTACCTGCCAGCGCCAGCAACTGCAGGAGCACGCGCACAACGGCGCTGCTTTGCTGCCCCATCCCGGCC